ATATAATAGTAGCTTAGTTAAATTAATTATTTTTCCAGCAATAGGCCTATATAAATTGAGAGATTGAGAGACACACATGTAATCAATTCTAACCCATACAGTGGTGGCAAAGTTACTAAGTACATTAACACAAATCCTACTAATAAAACATGATGATGACTTCACCAGCTGTAGCATTAAAAGATTAACACAGTATATGTATCATACGGAAGACGAGAATGGCCATGCATTTTGTGTGTGTGTGTGTGTGTGTGTGTGTGTGTGTGTGCACTGTTATCTCGTGATAACGACTTATTATTTCGTTATATGGTCGGGGTGATTATTTCCTCATTCATTGCCTCAAGGAGGGACAGCCCTGCCGGCTGAGGGACTGTTTGCGCTTTTACGCACGGGTCGGTGGTGAAGTGGCGCACATGACTCGTGCTACGGACAGACAACCACGCATCTAAAACAGGTAATACATCTGGCTACATCTTTCCCACATCAAAGATCCGTGATCACCTACACTCGCGTGCGTAAAAGCGCACACAATTCCGTGTCCTCTCACTGCGGATGCTGTGATTTGATGGCCCGGTACTCATTGTAGCCCACTCTTATAAAACCCAATAATAATAATAATAATAATGATAATAATAATAATGATAATAATAATAATAAGCTACTGTGGACCTATATGCCATGCCTTTTAATTAAATTACCAGAGGAATTCACTGAAAAGAAGGTAATGCCAGGACGAATAACCGGTGCGTCACCGGTGAAACCGGTCTCGGACGAGGCGATAGTAATCAGTGTCAGTGTCATGCACCCACATCCTCCTTGCTCTACATGTAGGGTGACATCAGCTAAATTGGGCCATCAGGTAAAATGGGCCATTTAAGGTTTGAGCGTCTCAGCTCTTTAAAAGTTAACAGCCAATGAATGCAAATGATTTCAAACTGTTGCCGCAGCAGTACTTGACATGTAACAATTGATTTGATTGGTCTATGGTTGCTATGGTGGGTGAGGCAAAGCCTCATATTGAGACTGCTCCAGAGAACTGCATGGTGAGTGCCCTGACATACCAAATCTTAACTGTCAATGATAAGGTTGATAATTCAATAAAAAAACAAATGTACATATATAAATAATGATGTATAATACATGTCCTGATGGCCTCCATCAGATATAATGCTAATGTTTTGCTAAATAAAATTAGTTTTGATGAAAAAGCATTTTTTGTTAGTGGCCCAATTTACCTTGATGTGTTCAGGTAAATCGGGCCACACATTTCAGCTAAAATGAGCCACGGTCTGAGTTAAGTTTTAGCAAATATTTTGATGGTTCCTCTTATTAAAAAGTATTAATATATACATATATTATTATATTATTGTATATTACAGGCCTCTTCACATTTTCCTTTGTAATTATGTGTGTCTGTGTGTGTTAGCTCTGCATCGTGAGCACACACACACACACACACACGAGAAAGGGAAAGGTGAAAGAGGCATACTGTAGCCTAGAAGTGATAGTGGAATATGGTTAAGTAAAGTAACATGAAACTATAATTATATATGGCAAACAAGAAGGAACAGAGAGGAACGGAGATGAGGAGAAAGGAAGAGAGAGGAACGGAGATGAGGAGAAAGGAAGAGAGAGGAAAAAGGAAGGATGTTTAATGTATTTAAATGTAATGTTCTACTGTGTTATGTGTGTTGATATTAAAGATAATTTGATTATATTATGAAAAATGACTGTTTCACTTTGCAGTTTGAGTGGCCCATTTTACCTGAACACCGCACATCTCAAAAATGGGGACAGCTGATGTTTCAACAGCTATAGGGTCTTAACAATTATATTTTATTACATAAATTCAACACAAAAATATTAAAAACAGTCACTATTAATCATAGGAACACAATCAAATGTCATACATTGTTTTTTCTTAGTTTCCCAAGTGATTAACCAAAAAGTGGCCCAGTTTAGCTGATATCACCCTACGTCTGTCAGATTGAGCAGTGACAGCAGGGACATCACTATTAAGCTCATCCAAACATAATATGAGCGCAAGCATCTTCCGGTTGGTGCTCATCGTGAAAGAAATGTCAAACTATAGATAAAAAACAAAGAGGCGATGCTGCAAAACTACGTGGCTACAGGAATTGTCAAGATATTGTTGTCATAGAAACGAAATCCCTCGTGAGCGTTTTTTTTGGGGGGCGCACAGAAGCTTCATCCCAGCGCTCCGCAGTGCCCTTCCAGCACCTTTCTGCCAGAAAAGGCGCTATGTGGACACAGGGCCTAAAATAAGGCCTACAACTGTAGTAACCCAACTAATAAACATATTGGCCTACTCTGCACAATGCTACCTTTTTGGTAAATTCGGGAGAAACTTACTGCCATAAGTAGACAACATGTAATGAAATAAACATCTAAATGTATAATTTGAATGTTTTCTTTATAGCAGTTTGGAAGAATACATATTCAAGGAGTAAACTAACCCAAAATCTCAAAATTGACCACTGCATGAAACATCGATGTTTTTGCTTGCCATGTCTTGCCTTAAGGTTTGATATGAGTTACCTTTTCAACATCATATTTTGCACGGTAAAGTGAGTTTCCTGAGTTATGTTTCTTTATTTTAAATAGTGTGCTATTACGTCCTGAATGACCACACTGTAGTCTTGATATAATAGTTTCTTCTCTGCAGGATCTCACCGACCTCATCACACCTACTTTTCTTTGAATTCTGTAAAACCATCTGCCTGTTCTTTCTTCTTCACACTGCTTTTTCCATCTCTCTTTTAACTTTAGTTTAATACTGGTCTTCATTTCTGTTTTACTTAAAGGAACTGGTATGCCAATATGATTAAATCTTGTTGTCTCATTTGAACATGTGTGAGCTATTTCATTTCCACTGATTCCTACATGAGCCAGTATCCATATAAATGTTATGCTTTGTCCCACCAACTGAATTCTGAATAGTGTTTGCTGTATTTCCAGTAAAATATCCCGTCTGCTGTCCGAATGACTGTATTTCATGCTGATCATTGATGAACTGGAGTCAGAGCATATTTTTATTTTCAAAGGTCTCACCTCTTCAACCCACTGTACTGCTGATAATATAGCCATCATCTCTTCTGTATACACGGACAACTCGTCACTGATTCTCCTGCAAACTTTAATGTTGAATTATGGAATTATAAATGAAATACCTCTTCTGTTATTTGAACGTAAACAAAATAGGAGGAGATTAAAACCCAGATCGCTCTTAATCTCCTCCTTTTTACTCTTAGATTGTAAAAATAATGCATGTAGCTATGGTGACGTCACCCATTGTTTTGTGGACTCCCCTTCTGAAACCTTGAGTCCGGCACTTCGGCTGCCACCATCTAGTTTTTTTGGACCCAGAAGTGACCATATCTGGACAAGAGGGTGGAGCTGCTCACAGACACAGACACACACACGCACATTTTGTTTTTAAAGAAACTCTTTAATTTAATTTTGACCATTGCATGTCTCTAACAATATTTGTTATTTCAAACAACATTATAATAAAATGATATTGTCTCAGCAGCTTTAACTTTGTGCAGTGAGTGGACAACTAAAACCTTTTTATTTCCTACAGGTTCATCATCAAATATCAAAATGCAACATGTGACCGTCAGACTCCTCCTCCTCCTCCTCCTCCTCCTCCTCCTCCTCCTCCATCCTCTGACCTCAGCTGACCTGGAGGAGGTGGATAATGTGCCAGTGGAGGTCATCGTCGACAGCTCCCCCTGCAGCGCCACCTGTGGGCTGGGGGTTAAAACTCAGACCCTGTGTTTGCTGAAAGATGGCGAGACAGCGATGGAAGAAGCTGTGAAAAATCAAGATGGAACAGAGGTACCAAAGACACGTCTTAAACATGTAAAACTAAATGATGACGGAATGTAAAAAAGGAAAATAGCTTTAATAACAACAATCGCTGTCATCTGCATGACTGACTTGGTGGTAGGTGTCAGAGGAGTGTCGGGTCCGTAAGGTGAAGTGTCTGGAGTCGTGGCAGTGTGGACTCAGGACCATGACGGTGACTTCAGGACAGAAAGTAGAGATCGACTGTCTCGGGGAAGTCATGGAGGCGATGGGGAGGTTCACCTGGAGGTAAGAATGGAAGATTCAGAAGTGATTTGTGTCCTTTAGATTGCAAACAATGAAAAAAAATCAAGCAAGGAAGAGAGGAAGAGACCTTTACGGACAAGTTGGCTCCTGGTACAAAACCTCCTGAACATCTGGATCTTCAGGAACTGTTCACACTGTTCTCAGTGTGATGACTTCTTTTTTATGGCACAGGGTGTCATGGCGTTACGCCCGAGGAATAATCAGCTCTGACGACTCGCTGTTTGCCCGCTTTGGTGCTCCCCTGCTGGACCGAGTGATTCTGGACCCCATCAGGGAGGAGGACGCAGGTAAACACATCTATGCGTGTGCTCACAAAGAATCTGATTCATGGTCAAAGCTCAAAGCTCCACTGACCTTGTCAGCAGGGTTAGACCAGTGGGTATCAACTTTAAGTTGAATTTAAGAAAAGGTTGGAGGTGCTGATATGTACGTCAGAACAGTCTGACTCTACAGTTCCTGATTCTCAACTAAGCAACACATGTAAAAAAGGTTAGATTGAGATTTTTTTTAATTCTCAAAATCAAAGCTGACCATAAAATGATCATATCATATTACAAAAAAAGCCAGTTAATGAACTCATCATGTCATTTTCAGGTACTTATTGCTGTGTCGTGCAGGATGCTAACTTCCGCAGGGTGAAAAAGGTTTACTGGGGGATCCGGGTTTTACCCATCGGGGTTCTAAATCTGGACTACGAAAGCTCCCTGGCCCAGTGGGACTCCACTGGAAACCAGCAGAACCAGACTGTGTCGGACGAGCTTGACCACATGGTGGCTCTTCTTGACATGGTACTGTTTGGTTTAGGAAGTGATGAGTTTGGGGACGCGATGATGCACTGATGATTATTTTGGCAATTAACGTTTTTTTAAAATTATTTGCTCAATATTTTAGTCAATAAAATGTAAATCATGATATATTGTTGTGTAAATGGCCAAAAAAACAACCAAACAAACAAACAATTTCTGTCTGAACACACAGCTGCTGTACTATTCCAGCCTGGCAGGCGTCGGAGCTGGAGTGATACTGCTGATCATCTACTGTGCAGCCAAGAGGAGAGAGTTCAGGCAGTTGACCAGATAAGGCTGTTCTTCTGTGGCTCACTGCACAAACACTGCACCTTTTCAGAGATGAAAGGAAGACTGTACCATCAACCAACATGTTTGTTGTTCTCAATATTCAACTGAAAAGAAATAAAAACTTATAACTGATATTTTTATTACAACAGTGATTCACAGTACACTTCCTGCACAGCAGCAAACGGCAGACAGACTCAGGTGGTGAACACAGTGGAGCGTTTAGCAGCTAAAGAGACAGATATTTCCCTCAGGAGTTGGTGGAGACCAAAACCAGAGCTAAAAGAGAGAGAATATTGGACTGACATTCATCAGGTGGGCACAAACACAAAGACTCTAATGAATGATCATGTTGCTGCTGGCCGTCTAAACAAACTCTTGCTTAATTAAAGGGTTAGTCATATAAACTTAAATGGACTCCAGTTGGACACAGCGTTGGAAGTGGGTACCCGTTCATTCCTGTGAAAGTTGCTAAGTGGTGCGTGAAGCTAAAGAAGCTCTTTTTCTGCATTATTAAACTGCCTGCACCTTCTGCATTGTGGACCAAACAGATCAAGTCTTGATAGTAAAACAGATCATTCTGCCAGGGTTGCAATGCTTAAAAAAAAGTATCCACTTATTTACATACATCTCTGTCCCAATGTAAGGTCATGGGGAAAAGTCTTTTTGGGATTCATGACATCACCTGATGGATGCGGTTGTTGTAATTCCACTTTTGTCCACTTTATAAAATTAGTTTTACAGCCCAGCGCTGTTCCTAAGGTCGGTTTGGAAGCCTTGAGTTTGACATTTTGGATTTTCGGAGCCAGAATCTTCTAATCTTCTGACCACTCAAAGTGCTTTTACACTACATGTCACATTCACACACTGATGGCTATCATACAAGGTGCCACCTGCTACTCAGTAACAATTCACACACACTCACACACCGATGGAACAGCCATCGGGAGTGATTTGTGGTTCAGTATCTTACCCAAGGATGCTTCGATATGTAGACTGGAGGAGCCGGGGATCTAAGCCGCCGAACTTCCAATTAGTGGACAACCCATACTACCCTCTGAGCCACAGCCATTGCAGTGTTAGCAACACTGGTAGTGACTTGTCAACAGACGGCAACCTGTCACTCAAAGCAGCAACAGCCTTAATTGTGCACAACTTAAAGCCTTAATAAACTGCAAACGAGTGAATTTTGTAGAAAGTCACCCTCTGTACAGTTGTCATGAATGGAAATATTAGCCACAGAGAACAAAACAGTTTTTTGTACCAGGCTGCAAACATGTTTATTTCTGCTGTAAAGTTGGGCATTTTAACATGGGGCTATGGAGCCTCAAGTGGCCATTACAGGAACTGCAGGTTTTGGCTCTTCCTTGTTGGCTTTATTTTTCAGGCCCAGAGGTTGCAGCTTGGTTCAACACTTGTTTCCCTATGGCCACAATGTCAAAAAAAAAATCCATCATTGCAGGTTTACCGGTGAGAATTGTTGGGGAATTAATACCTTAATGTCGAGGTTGCAGAATTATTCCTTTATTCAAAAGCCCAGTCGAGAGATAACAGAAAATAAAGGAGAGCGACAGGCAACAGCTGCTCTGTGAAGGCTGGTAGAGTGGAACATTCTGAACAAACCTGGTGGGTCACTGAGCTGAGACACAGGAGGACAGGATGGGCCTATTTTTCACAGAAGACATTTCGACATGTCGCAGTATAAAGAAAAGGTGTGAATAATAAAATGAATGATGGCTGAATCCAGTGTTTGCTGCTTCAGCTTCAGGGTCCTGTATTTGGCTCAGCGTCACACTATCACGGCTCACTGGGACACCTGAACATGACAGAGCCTTCGTTAATGTAATCAGTAACACATGAGATGCTCCTACTGTGACAAGTCAACATGTCTGCTGTGAAAAAGGCAGATGAAAACAAATGAGGGAGAGGATCATCTGACAGACATGCGCTGTGAAGCTGCCCCCTGTAATTTCTCGACATGAAAGAAAAAAGTAAATCCACCGCCATGCTGCCCACGGGTTGGAATGTAATTACACTGTGGGAACAAAGTAAATCATATTTCAGATGTCTCTGAGAGACATTTCCCCTCGAAACTTCTGGTCTCACTTTAATGACTGTTTGAGGCCTAAAGAGGCAAAATAATCATATTTTACACAAAGTTTAAAAAAAAAAGTAAAAAATTGATATAGACTGGTGCGGCAGAACTTAATTTGTTTTTCTGTCCAGTCCCATTAACCATCTCATGACTCCGAATTATCTTTGAACCCTTTGGAGGGCGCCTGCAGGAACAACCGGTGTAAACAACAATTTAAAGTAGTTAAAACTGGCTTCACCTTCAAATCCTGCTTATATAATGATGCATTAATCTAGTGTCACAAGCATAATTTGTCTGTCAAAGGGGTCATTTTACTGCAGAGGGTGTATTTTTACTTTGATGCCTTTAATACATATTGTGGCAATACATCTGTGTATGAATGAATGCAGGAATTTTTCTTGCAGCAAAGTATTTTTTACACTGTGTCCTGACTGGATGCGAGTGTCAGACTATTCCTCCAACCTCATCACATATTGACGTCTGGTCATGGACTAACCACATCGACATACGATGTGCAAGGTACCCTGGGTGCATTGGTTGCTGACGTTCTGGGACAGCGTCTCTTTCCCCCCTCAACAACAAACACACATGGTTGGGTTTAGGAAAAAAGACCAGGGTTTGGCTTTAGAATCTTGCAGGACGCGAACACTGCTCTCTCGGGTAAAGGTTGGTGTTTGCTCTCTCTCCACACTGGATCCGTTAAATATTGGACTCCATCACATCATGTAAGCAGACCACTTACCCTGCAGCTGTTTGCTCAGAGTAAACACTGAAAAGATGGGTGAGTACATACTTCTTATTATTCATATTCACAGTAGTTGTATTGTGCGTAACTCATAGATATCATTGTTGTAGCTCCCACTATATCATACCACCATCTCAACAAAGAACAAACTAGCTTGCAAGCATCCCACACAGCTCTTACCAGAAACACTCATCTTCCTGGCAATCTCCCTCCAGCCAGATTCCAGCTTATTTAGGTTTTGTAGTTAAATAAGTTGACATCTGGCAGGAAACACCTCATTTAAATCTCATGAATCAGCTGTTCCTCATCTACTGATGCGCCTCCAACGCAAGTGACAGAATAAAAATAGAAATGAGGCATCCGGCAAAGGTTCAGCTCAAAGTGGCACGCCACGTTGCTCGCAGGCAGTTAGGACAGTCCAATAGAAAACAAATCAAACTAAAACTAAAACAAAATCAAACTGATTTAGTCGCTGATACTCGCTTGGGTCATATCCAGTTAGGACAGTGTTACCGTAATATATTGGCACTTGTACTTATGTACAGGCTGTGAGTACTTCTTCCACTGCTGGTCTGGTTTTGTTTGTTCAGAGGACACACTGATATCCAGCTAAGGTGCATCGCAGCTGTCAGAAGAAAAATGTTGGCATTGTATGTTTCTGCAAACCATGAATATGTTACATTTGTACGTTCCATATGAATCATATCAATGTTTCTACAGTGACGTAGTATATGAGCTGACTGTTGGGAGGTGGAGAAGATGGTGGATGGCATGACATTGAGGCAAGACTCCTGCCAATTTGCAGACCACTGTTTGAGACCAATTAACGACAAAACTGGGTATTTTTTGATCACTGCTGCATCTCTTGCTGGGAGAGTGCCACGAAAAGCAGTTGTTTTTTTTTAACCGAGACATTGTGCCTTTCCAGGCCGGACTGTGCAAACAAAAGCTGGTATTTTAAGCCAAAACGTGATCTTTTTCTAATCATAACCAAGAGGTTTTTGGGCCAAAACCTAGCCTAGCCTAGCCTAGCCTAGCCTAACCTAACCCAAACTAACCTAACCTAGCCTAACCCAAACTAACCTAGCCTAACCTAACCTAGCCTAGCCTAGCCTAGCCTAACCCTAACCCAAACTAACCTAACCTAGCCTAACCCAAACTAACCTAGCCTAACCCTAACCCAAACTAACCTAGCCTAGCCTAACCCAAACTAACCTAGCCTAACTTAACCTAGCCTAACCCAAACTAACCTAACCTAACCTAACCTAACCTAACCACACCTCAGTCACAGTGTTGTTGAAACATGAAGTTTCAACATAAAGTTTTAACATATCTGCTATAATGACATACAAATGTATCTGTGGTTTGCAGAAACGTATGATGCCAATTTTTTTTCTGGTGACTGGGTTTACATTTTTGCAATGCAACCACAGTCTGAAGAGTCATATTGGAATTCATGCGACTTCACTCACAGATGTGTCACATGAATGGAGTGTCTTGCTGTGAGAGTCTTGTGGAGAAATTCCATGGATAAAAAGGATATAGTTAGAAGTTGGAATGAAGCTGACAGGAGACAGAAGGACCCACACAGAGAGGTCTAATCAAGATAAGAGAGAACACCTGTGGAGGTGGACCGTGGTGGTTTAAGGGTGTTAACCATAGAACAGTTTCAGGAGGTATGGAGAAAAACACATGATAACTGAGGGCTGGACAGGAGTGTAGATGTGGGTTATGTGTCTCATCGGCAGGAGGTGGCAGTGTTGGTTCATAAACAGGTTCTGAAGGAGAGAATGAGCTGTACAAACATATTTATCAATTTCCTCTCTGATGACCGTGCTGCATGATGGGACTCAGCTGCCTCGGTGGAACAAACCTGATTATGAGGGAAGAAGAGAAAGGGACCATCTCAAAACAAGATGATACATCTCATTACACACCAGAGGACCAAACTGCTGGATGCATGAAACATGTGGAGGCAGCTTTGTTATTCTTAGATCCTCATCACTCGTTTACTAATGCTCTATAGAGCCGTGTTCAAACATCCATAAGAGTGATTTTTAAATTGTGGAGGAGTGAAAATGATCTTTACCCTTGAGATGGATTTGGGTTTTCACAATTTTAAGATGATCACTAACTCAAGGTCAAGAATTAAATGTTGTGTTCAGTGTGTACAGTCATGTTTAATATCATCACTCAGTGTGTCTTGATTTTGAAGTTGAAGTGCTGCTCCACCCAACCCTGCACCTGCATGTTTCCTTAAAG